TATGTTTTGAATGGTTACGAGATGGCGTTAATGATCAATTCGAATATATATTTTTATTTTATATGATTCTCTTATCTATAAATATTTTATGTTTCTATTGTATTTTGTGGTAATTTTCGTGTATTTATGTTTTCTTTACCATTCTTTCGTTATTTATTTTTATTTGTAGCATGTAATTGTAAGTATATATTAAAATATAATTTATGAAATTAAAAAAAATAATATAAATGTTCAATTAATAAAAAAGTTATAAATTTCAATATTTTAGTGATAGATTTTTGGTTTCGAAGTTTCTTAATATGATATGATGATATATAATTTCATAACTTATTAAATTTTTCATTTTTTTTTTTAATGTTTTTTTTATTATTATGTCATAAATTTTAAGTAAAATTATTTAATTAACTTATTAGATTCAAGAGTATTATGTATTTTTATTATTTTAAGTATGACATTCCTTCAAATATTTCTTCTATATCGTCTTTTAGTCCAAAAACTGCTAGCGCAATGATTGCTTGGTTGCGATTCCAAAAGTGACGAACCGCGTAGGTTTGAATTGCAATAAATTTTAATTCATCTTCAAGGTATTTCAAATGTTTATGATCATATCCTTTTAAGATTACTATTCTTTGTCTGTTTCCACGTAATTAATTAAATGAATTATATTTAATTTATATTAATTTTTTATATTTTTTATTTTTTAGGATATACCAAATTAAACAAAAAGTGCTATAGTATAATTAAATTAAAAATTATTAAAATTAAGTAATATGTGCCATACCCATTTTTCATCCAAGAATCAATATATTGGCTTTTCACTTGATCAGAATCCAATATATTATGAAGAAACATCAAACTTTTTGCAATCTAAAATTAAATAGGTAAGAATATAATGATATATTAAATATAATTTAATTTAATTAATTAAATATAATTCTTCAAAATGTGTTATAAAATTATTATAATTATACGGAAAATGTTTTACACATTCTTCAAAATGCGTCAGATATTTGATATTAAATGAAGAATATATGTTATACTTACATTTGCTGCTGCTGCTCCTCGATTCATATGCAAGTCAGTATTGAGTATAGCATAAAATACATATTGCGTTAAGAACGGTTGACGTCGAATACTGACTTGAGTGTTTTTCTGTTTTTTGTTTATTTGATTACCATTTCTAAAATTAAGTAATATAAAATTTAATTATATATATATTTTTTTTCAATTATTTTTTGTGCTTAAAAATCAATCAATTTCTTTTTATTGTACGTATAAAAATATAATTCAAGAAAAAATTTGAACCTATTAGTTATTTTAGTTATTTTCAATGGATTAACTAAATTTTTATTCATTTTCTTTTTGCAACATCTTCGTTTCTTTTTCTTTTCGTATTTCATTATAAAAGAATTTCTTGAATGTGGAAAATATAAACGAAAAAATATTTACTTCTTTATTTCATCTTTAATTATTGCCATCACCTATTAAAATATATGCATTGTATATATGCAAATAAATAATCGTTAAAGTAAAAATTTTCATGTATAAATACATAGAGTTATTTAAAATTTAAAAGTGAATTTTATATCATGCTTAAAGCAGATAATATTATCTCAAATATATGTTATTTAGTTAGTATAAAATTATTTATAGCGAAGAATATAATTTACATATTTAAGTACAATCTTATAGTTTTTTTAATATAAATATTTATAATTTTAGTAAAATAATCGTTTTTTAGAAATTATATTCCTTATATTTTTAATAAAAACATGTAGAATACACGTACATACATATATCAAATTTGGATAAATATTTTGTAGTTATCGGTTGATCAAAATAGTGCAGAAAACTGTTTCATCACCTGCTGCACACTAATTTATTTCTTTCACATTTAAATACATTTCATTTTAACTTATGGGTAAAAAATTCAGTTTTGTACTAATTTATCTATGATATTTATCTATGACGTAGTTAATTATCAAAGAGAGGTTATTTGAAAAAATTTTATCATCTGTTATCGACTTAACTGAACTTATATTTATATATTGAACTCTCGCAAACAGAATAAATCGACATTTTGAATAACCGGCAATTTCAGGGTAGCAGTGTAGTGTTTGGTATACTTAGGTTAGAATAGCTATTTTCATAATTAAAAATATTCGTGATAAATCTGAATGTCATGTGATTAGTACGACATTTTTCGATGTTAATAGTGATTAATATTCGAATGAAAGTTTATTGATCTAAAATATATTTTTCGTGGTGATACAGTATATGTCCAAGGTTGTCAAAATATCTACCAACTGTTCTTCTGTCAAATGATTTTTATACGACTTTGATAAAAAAAGATAAATAACTTAAATTGCAACAATATTAACGATATTTCATGCATTGAAAATGGCCGCGAGTGAACCAGGTGTATCATTACTTTCTAGAGAAGATAATAAGTGGAGAAAAGATTTAATTTTTCAATTACAAGAAAGGAACAAGAGACAAACATATTGTTTTGCAGATCTTATTAGTTTACGTAAGATTTTTTTTCTTATTGTTACTAATATAATTAATTCTATTAATTTAAGTGATATAATAATAGGTTATTATTATTATTTATATTTTAACCTTATGTCCTAATATGTTTATAATATAAGTTGAAATATAAATAAGTTATTTTATGAAGAGGAATGCTTAACGTTATTTTATATTTATAGATAATAGATTGTTTGAAAGTGCAAATACATTACGTGGAGAAAATATTCAGCTAACTATAGCAAATGAAACTCTCCGTCGTGAAGCAGCAAGTGGGACTCCTGGTTTAAGTGTAAATGCTGATCTTGAAGCTCGCCTTCTAAAGCAAGCAGAAGAATTAGCAACATTACATAAAAGAAAAGGAGAACATACACAACAAATAGTAGATCTCAATAATAAATTACAAGAAATGATGAAAGAACTTCAAGTCAAGGAAACAAGGTATATATTTTTTACACCATTATTATAGAATTGAATATTTTTTTTAATCTATTAGAATAAATTATATTTAATAAATTTACAGTCTTGCAGAAAGTATAGAGCTTAATACAAATTTACGTTTAGAATATCTAAATGCCTTAACAAAGAGAAAGAATTGGAAAGCATTAATCAAATGTTAAAAGATGAGCATCAAGCTTTGCAACTTGCTTTTGCATCTTTAGAAGAAAAGCTTAGAAAAACACAGGTATTATTGCAATAATATATATATATATATATATATATATATATATATATATATATATATATATATATATT